AACACACATATATATATATATATATATATATATATATATATATATATATATATATATATATATATATATATATATATATATATATATATATATATATATATATATTATCTTATAAAAGAAATCTAACTATTTCTAAAAATAGATTGATTATAATAATAATATTTTTTTAAGACGTCCAAATGATGAAGCTGATAGTACAAGTAACCATTAATAAAATAATATTAAATTTTAACCACATTTTGAATTCAAATAATTATCATCAAATCTTCTTATATTTCTCAGCAATTTGATATGGTTCTCTCAAATCCCGGATTCATTCAAATTTTGAACCATTTTAGATATCCTTAAATTTAGTATGTTGATTCAAATATCCCTCCAATCGCATATACATCTTTGTTCCCTCCTCTGCTATAAAGCCCACCGTCTAGGAACAAAAAATGACTTCACCATAGTTTGATTATTTTGTCTTTGACATGTACTTTCTTTTGTAACATAACATTTTTGTAGAGGAAACATATCACCGAAAGAATTTACACGCCCCACCGCTTTGCGCGAGTACGCTGCTAGTATATATATATATATATATATATATATATATATATATATATATATATATATATATATATATATATATATATATATATATATATATATATATGATTTCGTTTTACAAAGTGAACATTACAAATGTCCTTTTTTTAAAAGAATAAAATAATAATACATGTATATCTTTATAAATCATTTCATGTAAATTCTAACATGAAGTGTAATGTGGTACGTCTTTGTGATATGTTTAAGAAAGCAGTTTCAAATATTTAATATTAGTATAAAATGGAATATAAACCCAAGGGATAATGATTTGGGAGGGTAATAACGTTTTCTGTTTGTCCATTTTAGGTCCCTAACGTATTCTTTGTGCGTATTACACCATTAATGTTATTATAACCGTTTACAAATAGTCCTTTTAACAGGAAGAAGCCGGTAAAAGGATTATTTATAAACGGTTATAACAACCTTAATGCTGTAATATACACAAAAAATACATTGAGGACCTAATATTGACAAACAGGAAACGTTATTACCCTTTTAAGTCATTATCCTATGAAACTATAAACCCCTATAGTAAATTGTTACTTTTTAAATAAGTAACTTGTTGGTCTTGTGGTTGGTAGTTTGGATGTTTTTAACCTCGACCTTCTTTATAAATGGAAGTGACGGTTTCTTAATGACAATGAAGCTCTTCGGGTTAAAATTGTCAAATTTGTCATGGGGAAAGTGGTGGTTTTTCGGAAGATTCGAGAATAGAAATTGGAGGGGGTGTTTGGCAAAAGATTGTAGGATCCATTAATCACCTCCATGAGAATGGTTGTATTCCTTCTAATTACATGTATAGAATGGTGGGGGGTGAGACTCAAACGAGGTTCTAGAAGGATGTTTGGTGCTTGGATATTCCTCTTAGGGAGCGGTTCGGGAGGCTATTTGCTTTCGCCTTTAATCAAGATGCTCGAGTAAGTGAATAATGGAATCCGGAAGGATGTATTTTCATTGGCGTCGGGGGATTAGAGGAGGGACTGAATCGACCCAATTTGATTATCTTGTAGAAGGATGTTTGGTGCTTGAATATTCCTCTTAGGGAGCAGTTCGGGAGGCTCTTTGCTTTAGCCTTTAATCAAGATGCCCAAGTAAGTGAATAATGGGATCCGGAGGGATGTAATTTTCATTGGTCCCTCCTCTAATCCCCCGACGCCAATGAAAATTACATCCCTCCGGATCCCATTATTCACTTACTCAAGCATCTTGATTAAAGGCCAAAGAAAAGAGCCTCCCGAACCGCTCCCTAAGAGAAATATCCAAGCACCAAACATCCTTCTAGAACCTTGTTTGAGTCTCACCCCCACCACTCTATACATGTAATTAGAAGGAATACAAACATTCTCATGGAGGTGATTAATGGATCCGACAATCTTTTGCCAAACATCCCCTCCAATTCTTATTCTTGAATCTTCCGAAAAACCACCACCTTCCCCTTGACAAAAGTTTCGCGTACAATTTTTCTTTCCTCAGCAGTTCCAAGATTAATTTCAGGTGCTGGCCGTGATCTTCTTTGTTGTGAGAATAGATTAAAATGTCATCGATGAATACTATCACATACTTATCTAAGTATTGCTTGCACACAAGATTCATGAGGTTAATGAATACTGTTGGAGCATTGGTTAATCCGAAAGGCATAACTAGGAACTTGTAGTGTCCATATCGAGTCCTAAATGTCGTCTTTGGAACAACCTCCTCTACCACCTTCAGTTGATGATATTCATATCTAAGATCTATCTTTGAATAGTAATTAGATCCTTGAAGTTGATCAAACAGGTCGTCTATTCTAGGGAGTGGATAACGGTTCTTGATTGTTAACTTGTTCAACTCCCGATTGTCGATACACATCCTGTAAGACCCATCCTTCTTCTTGAAGAATAAGATTGGTGCTCCCCAAGGCGAGAAGCTCGGTCTAATGAAACCTTTATCAAGAAGTTCCTTCATTTGACTCGAAAGTTCTTACATCTCGGAAGGGGTCAATATGTAGGGGAATTTTGCTACTGGTGCTGCTCCTGGAATTAAGTCGATTCTGAATTCGACACTGCGGTTTGGTAGTAGTCCAGGAAGATCTTCAGGAAACATGTCGGGATAGTCACATACTTGTGCTATGTCATTGATTTCTTTCTTTGTGCTTTTCTTATCTATTACATGTGCCAAGAAGGCATAGTACTTCATGTATAGATATTTTTGAGCTTCGGTGCAAGAAATAAGCTTTAAATTCTGACCCGACTTATCACTGTAGATCATCATGGTCTCCCCATTACTTAGTGTTAGATGTGTTGTCTTTTCAAAACATAAAATCTCAGCATGGTGAGCAGACAACCAATCTATACTGATAATAATGTCAAAGCTCCCAATTGGCATTGGCATTAGATTAACAGGAAACATATGGTCGCTTAGAGTTAGGATACAATCACGTAGGATTTCGGTGGTGCTTTCAACTTGATCGTTTGCTACATTTACTTCATATGCTACATCTAATTTACTTGACTCATGATTTAATATTTGTTTAAATGTTGGGGTTATAAAACTTCTATCATCACCTGAGTCAAAAAGAATCGTAACATATAAGTTATTGATGAGAAACGTATCAGTAACCACCGAGGGATCTTGTACAACATCCCTATTCCCAATCACAAAAGCTCGACCACGATCCTGGCCATCACCTTTCCTCAGTTTTAGACAATCCCACTTGACATGAACTTTATCTCCACATTCTAAACATGTTACTCCTCCTCCTGACCCTAATCCATTGCCCCTGTCTTGTATTGCTGCAGCAAGTGTCGCGCCTCAACAAAAGTTTGCGGTATGCCCTTTCTTGTTGCATGCAGTATAGTGGAAACATTCTCCAATATGGTGTCGGTTGCATTTTGGTGCATAGTGGTTTACTTCCAGCATAACTTTTATGTTGGGTATGAATAGGTGCCGAAGTCACAGCGTACACCTTTTCAATCTGTTGTTTCTTCTGGTGACCCTGGCTTCTTCCACTAAATTTGCGTTTATGGTGATTATTTCCAGTTTTTGGGGTTTCAACCTTAGCTATCTTCGTCCCTTGATCAATTTCATTCTTAGTCAATTGAAATGCCATACGCTTAGCACTTAGATAGGTTGTAGGCTTTGATGAAAAAAGCATCCCTTTAATTTGACGTGCTAGGCCCCAAATGTAGCGTTCGACCTTCTTGCTTTCCGGGGTTACCATTCCTAGATAGAGAAGTGCAAGGTCGTTAAACCTAGTTGTATATGCTTTGACTTCAGCACCTTTCATTTTCAAGTTCCATAACTCGTGTTCTAACATCTGCACCTCATCTCATGGACAATATTCTTCAATTAATAGAGCCTTAAAGTTCTCCCAAGACATAGAGTTTGTAATTGACACTCCCATACTTTTTACATGATCGTTCCACCAAGTTAAGGCTCCATCCATCAGAGTACATGCATAAAACCACACTTTGCTACCCTCAGGGCAGTAGCAGATCTCGAAGTTTCCTTCTGTCTTTTGGATCCAATGAGTTAGACCGATGACTCCTTCATTTCCATAAAAGTTCTTTGGTTTGCAATTCATGAATTCCTTGTATGAACAAGTCCTTTGAGGTTCTTCGGGATTTGAGTTGAGAGTGTTTCCGAGTCCGTTCTTGAGCCCATTCAATTCTACGATAAGCCTTCCAGAGTCCAGGTTTCTAGTAGTTGCCAATGCGATTGAGAGGCGTTCAGATATTAGTTGTTTCAATTCTGCAGTGGTTTGGGGAAGCCCTGACTCATGGGGTGGAGGCATTGGTGTGTTAGAAGATGGTGTTTCTGCTACTAGGGTCACCGTTGGATTGGTTCGGCCTTTTCTGGGGCGTCCAACTCTCGTTCGTGCTGTTGGTTGTGGAGTTGGTACTCTTTGATTTAAATGAGTGCTCTTTCTTGGAGGCATATTGTCGTCCTATAATTCAGTAAGTTTGCGATGTTAGTGTTAGCGATTTTAAGAATTTATTTTGGAACGATTATTTCTATTTAATTTATTTTATAGCAATTGTTGTTTATAAAATGGTTCATGTGATAGTTCGACAAGATTTTTAAACTAAATACATCATATATTTCATTTTAAACATTAGTATCTGTTTACATCGGTCTTTACTTGTACAAAATGTAAAGACCTAAGTTTTAAGGGTACAAAAGCCCTAACTTCTGTTATATTACAGGCGAAACAAACAAAACTAACGTATGCTCACATGATCTAACATATTCGAAGAGTTATTCAAAATTTCCAATTTTAACAACTTATGCGTGCTACAACCTGATACTTCTTATCACCAGAAATTCATGCATTGGGCCACCGCATTGGACAACTCGGTGTGCCTTACAACCTGTTCTGTATGGTCTGCTGTGAGCGTTGCATGCCTTTCTTCGAGTGTTTCATGGTTTTCTTAGAGTGATACATGCCTTTCTTCGAGTGTCTCATGACTTTCGTTAATTGCTACATGCTTTTCTTCTATTCCATGTACCAGAGAGATAGCAATATCGTTTTGATTCTCCATAGCAGTTGTCCTTGAATTGCAGTTCATCCAGTTGCTATGGTGATAGTTCATTCGTTGGTGGAGGTTATCCAGCTTAATCTGCTGTTGTTCTTGTTGTCTCCCCATATGAGTCATTCCTCCTCTGGTCTGTGCTACCTGTCCCAGCATGGTGCTCAGTTCATCACTGATGTGCCAGACTTGTCCATGCAAGCGGGTATTTTCTTTGAACAGGAGAGACAAGTCATCAATGTCCATGGAAGATGGGGGTGTCGTTCCTGACGCTTGACCTTTCTCGAAAGTTCATGCAGCCTTCCATTCGGATATCCACTTGTTCACCTTGTTGCACTCCCAGGCAGGTCAATCTACCCTCCTTTTGGTTTAGGAAAACCTCTTGCTTTGCCTCAGCGTTGTGGGTCTTCGATCTGGATTGACATCCTGGCAGTTTCCTTGGGACATCGCCTTGGAGTTGTAGTGAAAGAGTGAATTTGGGTGGATGGAGGTGTGACAGATGATTCTGATTCAATTATCATGATCACTTCGTCATTATCTTTCACATCCATATCTTCCTCGAGCTCTTCCTCGGGGTCTTTTTCCATGTCTTCCTTAGGATCTTCTTCGATCTCGCTCTCATCTTGTTGCATTGGTGTCTCTTCGATTGGTGGGATAGGGTTGTATGCCACAGGGAGCTCGGGGTAGTATGGATCTCCAGGGATTACGGGAAGCATGGGTTAGTTTGTTGGGGGTTGAACCAACATCCATAGTCTATCCATCTAGAATGGATTTTTAAGAAAATATTAGAACCCAAGGTACATCGAATAATATAAAAATATTATAATTATTTATATGGTTCTATCAATTATTTGTGTCTATTGACTAGTTTTAGTTTCCTTAAAACTCCAAGCTTTTAGTTTATCAATTATTTCATTTAGGTTGGATAATGCACAAGGCCTGATCAAAATAAAACATAGGTGCGCAAGCTAGGTCTTTGTGATAAAACATATGTACTATGAAACCTATTTGATTAATTGATCTAAATTCTTGTGTTTTGAGTGTTATATATATATATATATATATATATATATATATATATATATATATATATATATATATATATATATATATAATTCGTTATACACAAATGAGTTTTTTTATAAAATAAATAAATATTAATTTATGTTTAATAAAACTCTATTTTTAAATTTTTGTAGGATAGCGGTATATCTATACTTACTAGAGGAAGCCCTAGATTATAGTTGTATTTTTTTCAGGAAAATACTTAGTTCTTTATAATTGTTAGCTCTGATAACAATCTGTCACACACCGACCGATGACGGAAACGCTAGGGTTGCGATGTTTACAATTGGAATCACAGTCAACCACATATATTTAACATTCATAAATTAATATATTACGAACTTTGGTTTTGTAAACGTTATTATAATATTGTAATTATTTAAATACGAAACATTAAAATAGACCAAATTCATAATAATAAAGGGAACTATGATCTCCTTGAAACCGATGGTTTACCTCCAACTTCTTAGTTAGTTGAGAATACACATTCAAAATACGTCAACAAAATTTGTTGGCGAGTTCTACAGGTTTTGACTCTGTGAATTTTATATAAAATAAACGGATAAAATTTAGAGTATTTGCAAAAAGATGTTTAACCCAAAAATATTACTAATACAACCTTGTAGAAGTTTGTATTAGTATTTATGTATGCAGGATGTTGTGGAGTAAATAACCGAGCTATGATTTGTTCAAGCCTCTATGAAGCACAAAAATGTGTTTGTTGTCCCAATGACGCTTCATCGACGTCGTGATAAAAGAATAAGATAAAGAAAACAAGAAGTTATCGTCTGATTTGTTTTGTCATACGAAGGTTGTAGCTACTAACCACATAGACGGGGGTGTCAACCCGTATAGATCTATACACAACGTTCTTCGCTCACAAAGGATTAACGATTATAACATAGGACTTTACTAAGTTGGTTTTCTTAGTTTGATGAATAAGGGACTCCCCCAACAATCCCAAGTTTAGTTACCGTTCTAATATTTATGATATTTAGAAACATAATGTCTAACATGAAATGAATTGTGGTACGTCTTTGTGATATGTATAAGAAAGCAGTTTCAAATATTTAATTTTAGCATAAAATGGAATATAAACCCAAATGTAAGATAAATTGTAAATAAAGTTAGATAAGTGTTAATGAGTTTAAATGACATAATTGGTCATGTGTATTCTCCCCCATAAATTATTTATAAGGTAAAATGGGGCCGTAGTTGCTCACTTTTGTTGCGTGATGGTATTTGGTTCGAGGAAGTTGAAATGTTTCTGTTCCACCGAGGCTTGAGATTTGAATGCTTTTTGGGAGGTCTTAATACATAAATTAATAATGAGTTAGACATCCATTACATTTTATTTTATTTACTACAAGTTAGTTTTTTTTATAGAATAATAATAATAATAATAATAATAATAATAATAATAATAATAATGATAAAAATAATAATAATAATAATCAGACATGTACCTAGTTCCTTCTTGGGTTCACGATGAGTCACCAAAAACGGGTTGAAAGGTGATGGACTTTGAGTGTAATATTTGGGAGGGTTTTTATGGAAAACGAGGGAAAGGAATAAGGGATGGATGGTTGATATTTATAGAGGAGGAAAGAAATAGGATTGCTATAATACCTCAATAGATTTAATTTAAATTTTACCACTTGCTTCAATTGATTTAGTTACTTGCAATTCATTTACGACCTAGTCTAGTTTGAGGCTTTAGTTTTTAAAATGAATTTAATTTAATAATGGAGGAAAAATGTCCTCTGCATAGGTGAGTTTATGGCTAGAAGGTTTAGGTATAACTTGATAAATTTCTTAGGCACATGTATAGGGGTATGAGAATTTCAATGTGTGAGGTGATTTATACATTATTCTTTATCCTTTTATATGTTCTCTCAGTATTTTAACTTAATATTTTATAATATATCATTTATCATATGGTTGTATGTTTAATTGTTCGTAATATATATATATATATATATATATATATATATATATATATATATATATATATATATATATATATATATATATATATATATATTATACCTGTTTGACATTGGAAATTTTATGTGTAAATATGTATTTGTAAACGAATAATAATAATATTACCCATCTTCGGTCGTTTTGGTCTGTAATTTCGTCCTTTTGACTGCTTTAAATTTTTTGAATACAAGTTCATTGATGAACATTTAAGTTGCTCCTTAGCTGGAGCCGTGTCGAGATGATAATTTAATTTTTTTATTCAAATGGCTTTAATTGGGAGATTTCACGAATCGATTTTATGATTCAGAAATAACTCGTTATCGACATATTTTAACGTAAAATTGCTGGTTTATTTTCACTAGACATTTTCTAAACAAAATATGCTAAATCCATATGCCGTTTTGAATAAAATGTTTATATTGTTTACGATCAACATATAATATCGTACAAACATTTTTTTTTGCTAATTGTTACAGATTAAGATAAAGAAACCCTAATCCCTTTGGTTAAAGCCTAAGCAGTTCATGGATCCTAATCCTTAAGGCCATGAACGAAATTTCTAAAGCCTTCCCTAGAGAATTTCATCAATCCCTCCTAGGATGGTCAAAGATCCAATAGCCACAACTATCAATAAATTACAAAACAACCCCTACACTTTTAATTAATTCCTTTAATCCTAAAATAAATTCCAAATTAATTTCTAACTAAATATTAATTAATAATATGGTTTCTAATTGATATATTATTTCCATAACATATTAATAAATCATTTATATCAATTTATTCTTCCAAATAACAAATTCTTCCCTTCCTCAATTAATCATCTTATCAAGTTGCTAGTGTGAAGGTAACCCAAAAGGACATTGTCACTATCAATTCAAGTACATACCAATTATAGTTATGAGTTTAGACACCTAACCCAACAGTCTCCTACTTGGATAAGTCTAATAACTATAGTTGCAAGTACGAATTCAAAAATTGACAAGCAATCGAAGCTCTCAAAGCCACTATCGAACTCCAACTTAGTCAGATATGTGTCCTAAGATAAGTCATCAAATAATCCTCCATTCAACAAGATATCATATGGACATGAGACATGGATTATAATCATTCTTTCTTTCCAAGATTTGTTTCCCGATTTCTGATTTATAACATCTGATATCAGACTACTAATTGAACACATCAATTAAGTCTAGGCTTGGCCAAGCACTTTAGATGTCATCACCAAATCATCGAGGGGCCCACAAATGTCATTTTTTCCCGTTAAGGAAGAAGGAACAGATAAACGTCGACTCATATTCTTGCAATATTTAGTCATCAAATCACGCACAACAATATGTTTTATAATATTAATTTACTGATGCGTTTACGTGTTATCAATGCAGAATTGAATTGTAAGATACAACTCATATATCTTGGTTTCAAGTATATAAGATATTATCGTCTCAATATTACTCGTGATAAAATCCATGAAGTAATTCTTTGAGTGTGGGTTAATCCAATACTTAAATACCCATTTCGAAAGTACTCATGACTATTGCAGCAAACCATTGCTATGTCTAACCCTTTAGACAATCTACAACCTAATTCATGACAGTTTTAATTCACTACTTACTTCCAAAAGTACGATCTAATGTGGATGTTTGAATAATCCAATTATCCGGGAAGTAAAACATGTGAAGTGAAACACATAATAACGTAATTAACTATGGTCTAAAAAATATTGAATATAAATAAAACACTTATTATTTAATCACCATATTAATTAGACATTATTAACTGTATAATGTTTCGATTAATCAACTAAACACGTGAATTAAATATCAATCATGCCATGTTCTAAACATGCATACTATATCTTTCTATGGTCCTTCCTTTATGAATAGATCGATCATACATTATTCCAATGATGCTCATTTCACAACTTCAAATTCTTATTAGAACTTGTAAGAATTCCAAATTTTTTCATCACTAAATGTGGTAGAGTCTAACCTTGCATGCAATATTCTTTTGTGATGACGTGGCCTAAAAGTCACAAAGACTTTGCCAACGATGTAAGAAAATGCTCTATTGAAACTTTGATACTTAAAACAGTTTCATGGTTATGAAGTTTCAAATTCAGGATACAATTCTTGAACACCTTCCTTGCATACAGGTTTCTAACTCATATTTAAATACTCAACTCTCATTATGGAAACATTTTCATATTCCCATATGACCATCCATTATGATAAAGAATTATCCCAATCTAAAACATGTCACTATAGTCCTTACACATTTATACTTCCAACTATCCACAAGTAACAAATCTTCAAGTAAACCTTAGATTGTTCTTGACAGTTGTTTAACAACTTTAGTCACATCTTGTTCTAGTCCTTTTTCCCTCTCAATGCCCTAGGCATTTGGAAAAATCAAAACAAGTGAATATTATAGGATATATAATCAATCCAATATCCAAGCCATATGGGATTCGACACATAATGTCACACATAAAGACATGATACTTGATTAGTCTCTTGATATACTATTTCCATATATATTGAATTTCCTATGTTGAATCATTTCAACAAGATATTCATATATGACTAAGTTTTATTAAAACTTCATTCTAAACTTTTAGATTTGAAATGAAGTATAAGTGCTCTCTCCTCTATAACTTTCTATC